GGAGAGTCTGTGCTCAGGAGGTGTCTGAGCTCGGCTCTGGGTTCTCCCCAGCACGACCCTGCGAAGCCAGGCAGAGGTGTGCGAGGGTAGAGGGTTGTGTCTGCACCTGGAGCCCGCAGCACAAGGAGGATGTAGAGCTGTAGGAATGAGTCCAGAGGAGAGCCAGGAAGATGATCAGAGGGCTGGAGCACCTCTCTTAGGAAGTGAGGTTGAGGGAGCTGGGCTTGTTTAGCTTGGGGAAGAGGGGGCTTAGGGGAGACCTCATTGCAGCCTTCCAGTACTTGAAGGGAGCTTATAAACAGGAGAGAGAGCAATGTTTTATATGAGCAGATAGTGATAGGACAAGGGGAAATGGTTTTAAACGAAGAGAGGGGAGATTTAGGTTAGATATTGTGAATAAATTTTTCACACAGAGGGTAGTGAGACACTGGAACAGGTTGCCCAGAGAAGTTGTGGATGCCCCCTCCCTGGGCTGGCACAGGGCACGTAACACAGGCACTTGCATGTGAAGCCCAACAGCTGTTGCTGTGGGGTGGTGGTTGTACGTGGGTTTATGTGTTAATTGTTTCCTAGTTTGCTGAATTTGAAATGAATGGAACGAGCTTCAGTACCACTAGGCAGTCTTTGTTGTCCATTGGGTTTACTGTCAGCATCACAAGAGTTTATCTCTAGCAGTTGCAGAATAACTGGGATTATGCTGTACTGGAGTGTGTCCTGCAAAGGGCTGATGATTAGGAGACTGGAACATCTCTTACAAAGAGAGGCTACGAATCCTGGGGCTGTTCGGCCTGGAGAAGAGAAGGCTCTGGGAGATCTCATCAGTGCTTATAATACCCAGTGGAGGGAATAAAGGAGACAGAGCCAGGCGCTTTGCAGTGGTGCCCCTGATGGGACCAGAGGCATTGGGCACATGCTGAAATGGAGGAGGTCCTGTTTGCACGTAAGAAAACGCTTATTTACTGTGAAGGTGGTCAGATGTTGTACAGGTTGCTTGTAGAAGTTGTGTAATCTCTGTCCTTGGAGATACTGAAACCTCGGCTGGACGCAGTCCTGGCCAGTCTGGTCTGACTGACCCTGCCAGAGCAGGGGTGGTCTGTGCCCGCCAGCTTCAGCTCTTTTATGCGTTTGGCTCACGTTGCCTGAAAAGAAAGTAGCTCATTTGTGTTATAAACTGGATGTTCTGCCTTATTATGGCACGTGTTGGCTGTTTTATGCCACTTCATAGGACTAAGGAAAAGATCCGGCGGGCAGCTTGAAAGCAGGAGGTGCATCCGCCTGGTGACTGTTACCTTCTCCAGCTCCCCATACCCTTGTCAGTGGCCCTGGGACCAGGAAGGCAGGGCTGGGAACGTGTTGTGCTCCTTCAGCACAAGGTGGTGGCTGCTCTGAAGCCCCGGCAGCAATCAGAATGTGCTGTGCATCCAAAATTGGAATAAAGAAGGTTCTTCCGTGAATTTTCGGCTGAGTTGTACCAAGACATGTACTGCTTTAGCAGACAGACTAGGTAATGAGTGTTACTGATAAAACTTTGACTAAGAGGAATGGAAACCAAAATGGGGAGAAACAGGACTGTCTAGTAGCCGGGAGCTGCCTGCCTGCCAACTTGGAAATGGAGCCTACCTGCAAAACTCCGGACCACCCAGAAGGGGTTAGGAGAGGTGGGAGGTGGGTTGAGGGGGAGGTTCCAGTGTGGTATAGTCTCTGTGGGCTGACCCTTCTTTTTAAAAAAAATTGAAAAAACCCATCAATTTTTTAAAATAAAACTTGTACCATTTTCCAGTTCTGTGTGATGGTCCTTCTCAGGGCTGAGCGATCACTCTTGAGTCTTTGGCTCCTGGAACCCATCTTTCTTCTTTCCTGCCATCAGGGCTCTCCAGAGCGTACACCCTGCTTCATGGGCCTTTTCTTCTTTGCTTGCTGTTCTGTCTTGCTGGGCACTGACAGTATTTCTGGTGTGTTGACCCCTCTCTCTGTGGCATGGCAGCTGTTAAAGGCCATTGGAAAAATGACAAGTGCTCCTTGTTTCTTTGCTGGTCTTCAGTTTTCCTGCTGTACTGGAACTTCGCTCTTCCTGTGCTCCGCTTCACTTCTGTACATCAGAATTATTTTTCAGGTTATCTCCCTGCATTATGGGCCCTGCATGCTGGCTTTTGAATGGCTCAGGAACATCAGAGCTGCAGTGAGTTACTGCTAGTCTGCCTTGTTAGGCTGAAATAAATACTTGGGGATAGCCCTCAGGCAGCATAGAAGGGTTTTGCTGAGGAAAATGCTGGGCTAACGAGGAAGACTTTTGCAGTGTTTCCTTTTTCAAGGATGGTGGCTGGTGCAGAGGCAGATGGAGATGCTAGCTGCGTGGCAGGCCCTGAGAAGGTGGGTGCTAAGGCAGAGTGCTGTCCCCCACCGGGCCCACGTTCTCCCCTGTGGCACTTCCAGTGGGTTACTGCAACCGTCTTTGCGTACTGGGAAGTACAACAACCCTTGCACTCTAGTGGCCTTCAGCAGAGACTCTACAAGATGATGCTGGGAAATTTGTCTTGTGTAATTGAGTAATATTTCAAAATATAATAAAGTGGTAAAATTGTAACCCAGAATGTGCTTCCTGATGTGTTTTCCTTGGGAATCTGCAGTGCCTGTGCCAGCTATGCAATGTGCATGTGTGTTTGATTTTTGTTTGGTTTTTTAAGTGTGAGTAGAATTATTTATTTGAGGGTACTTTCCAAATTGAAGTAGACTGGGTAGGGAAGGGACTTTGTCACCTCCTAGAAGGGCAGGAGCAATTTTATTCAAAACCTTTTGCTCCTCTTCTCCACTCCATTATATATAATACCTTGTATACTGCCTATGGTTAGTTGTCCTCTACAGGAGTGTCAGTGGGATCTCAGAACCAACCTGGAAAGGTGTCCTGCTGGGTAAACCCTTGATCAGTGTGAGTCACCAGCCCTTCTGGAGAGGCTGCAGCTTGCTGTCCTGACAGCTCTTTGCAGTGGTTGTCTTCAGGAGGTGCTTGGTGACATGCCTGGCAGAGATGCTGTTGTCGTTGATGCCGGGAACAGATGTCCTCAGCTGGAGGCGAGGTGAAGGCCCTGCTTATGGAGCGCCTTTCCATGCTGCTCTTCACTGGCCTGTCTCCTAAACATCAGCCATCCCCACCTCCGCTGAGCTGGTAGCTCTCTGAGGAAGAGCTGTGCATGGACGTTCTCTGGGAGCCTGTGCAGAGGGAGCTGGGTGGGGATGGGTGACTCCAGGCAGGGGTTTTCCTGCTGTTGGAAAGAGGCACACAGCTTCGTACCAGCACTCAAGGGACAGCCTCCAGAGCAGCCTGCAGGCCAGCGCTGCTGTGCAGGCTGCCTTCTGCTCACGGCAGGACTACAGACACAAACCTCCATGGAGAGACTTGTGGTGGCACGGGGCTGTTCCTCTGCCAAACGGGACTAGTTGCTGTAATTTCATGGTATATTTAAGGAAGTCTGTCCAGGCCCAAGTGGCTTGATGTAAAGCGAATGATTTGGAGGTAACCTGGGTGATGAGCCTCGTGGAGCTGTGCTGGATGCGGGCTGGTGGCTGCGTGCGGTGACCTTGCACATACCTCCCTGCGTGCAGTAGCGCAGCGGCTGATGTCATCTCCCAGGGCAGATTTCCTCCTTGTGTTGCAGAAAGGCTTTTTCTTTGGCAGGCAGGGCTTGGGTGCTTCCTGACGCTGGTGTGCTTGGGAGGGGGTGGTTGGCGTGGGCAGAGCAGGGCAGAGCCAGGCAGGCAAGCAGGAGCACAGATGGAGGGCGAGGGGGCAGGTGCCCCGGGGACAGGTAGTGCATCCACCCGAGAAGGGCTGGTGAGTGCATGACACGAGTGGCTTTTGAACAACACTTTTGAGATATAGAGAAGAGGAGGAATGAGTAACAGCAACCTTAACCAGAACTGTGCTTTATCTTCAGAGCTCTTCTCCGAGTGCTGCTGAAAATGGCTTGGACCCTGATGAGGAGCCTCTTCTCAGAAAAAATCCCCGCCGGTTCGTCATCTTCCCCATCCAGTACCCAGACATGTGGAAAATGTATAAACAGGCTCAGGCCTCCTTTTGGACAGCAGAAGAGGTGAGCCCCGGGGCCAGTGGCTTGGCACAAGGTGCTCAGACTGGGGTCCTGGTGTTTCCTTCCTAGCTGTGCTGCTGGCTTCTGTGTTGTAAGGGTTGGGGCTAAGTGCATCAACGATGTGGTGGCTGCACCAGAGCAGTACTCCCTTCAAAGCTGCTTCCACAGAGCCATTCAGCGGAGCTGTTGTAGGTGTTTGGTTTAGGATGAGATGGAATCGTATCCTCGGGGGCTTCCCTGATTATAGCGGGAGCCTAAGTCTGATAGCTCCTACTCTGCTGTGGTCTCTGCACCTGTAACTAACTCCCTGTCCACATAAAATGTTCTGCACAATTTCATGTGAATGCTGTTTTTTAATGTTAGGCACGTGTTTTCCAGGAAGATGGTGATAATCAGGGACGTTTGCTAAAAGTGCTTCTAATTGACACCCGATTGCCCTGGTTAGGTGCTTGCCCTGTGTTATAATGCAAGCTGTAAGTTCTAAGCTGAGGTTGCTGGTTAGGCAGACCTGAGCAGTACTCAGCTTGCTATGCTTGCAGCAGTGGAGGCTTCTGAATGCTGCACTGATGTGGAGAGATTACCCGTCAGCTGAGCTGGTTGTTCCAACTGGAAGCTTCTGCAGCCTTTGCTCGTTTGTGAGCAGGGATCTGCAATTGCAGAGGAGTGAGGTGAAAGCACTGGCAGGCTCTCAAAAGGCCAGAAAGCATCCTGGGAGGGTGAGGAGCAGCTGTCTGTAGAAGTGCTATTCCATTGCCTGCCTGGGAGGCTGGCTGCCCTGTTGCAGTAGAAGTTGATTTAAGCCGTTAAAGAAAAGGCATTTGGACTCCTGCCTAATCAGCGCTGCCCTGTTACTGGTTCCTCCTGACGCTGTCCCTGTCCTACCATCTGTTGGTGCCTTTCCAGGTGAACTGGAAAGTTAACTGTAGCGCTGGTTTGTGTGTGTATGTGTTTGTATACACACATATACACATGCATGTTTTTAGGCCTCTGTATTTTTCACATCTGGCCCTACTTTGCTACTGTGGTTCAGAAATCCTTCCAAACAAACAAACAAAAAAGGCCTGTGCAAGGAAGTTGTGGTTTTTTACTGCGGCCAGAGTTCAGCCTGGTAGACGAGAGCAGTTGCGCAGCGTTCGCCCTGTGCCGTTCGTTGTCAGGATGGAGGCTGAACACCTGCAGAGGCAAAAGTCCCTTCAGTCCATCTTCTGGCACACCTGGGTGTAGGTTTCTTAGCGTATCAGCATTTATTTCAAGTAGAGTTTAGGTGTCTCAGAGTGAGCTCTGCTTATTGCTGTGTGTTCATACTCATGACAAGAAGATACTAATGCTTTTGAAAATCCGATTTATTTATAATTCAATAAACGCTGATTTTTTTCCCAAATAACAAAAGAGTAAACTGCAAAGCAAACATGTGGTGTTACTGTTGCAGAAGGAGATAGCAGTACTGCAGTGTTTTTATTGTCTTTTACAGTCATGCATGTTTAAATTCTCTACATGTAAAGATTTTAGAGCAAATGCTAAAACTCTGCCTCAGTTGTTTGACTAGGCTGCTTCTGTTCTTGCAGAGTGACAGACTCAAAAGGGCAATAATCTTTCTCTTCTTGCTTTTCATTAGGTTGATTTGTCAAAGGACCTTCCTCACTGGAACAAGCTGAAAGCAGATGAAAAATACTTTATCTCTCATATTCTGGCATTTTTTGCAGCCAGTGATGGAATTGTAAATGAAAACCTGGTGAGAAAACTTCACAGGGAGCTTGAATATTTACTCATTTTATTGGCTTACTGGCTTTTCATTTTGGTTTTCTCACATCAATGCGTAAGTTTATTAAATGTGTACATTTTTTTTCTTCCCATCATCTCACCTTTGCCAAGGGGAGTAAGCAACTTGTTCTGCTGAGGCCAGTGTCTGAGTTAATTGGGTCAGTTGTGGTCAGCAGGACTCCAAATAACATCACTCTTGGACAGAGTTTTTAAGCTCAGCCTTCTGCCTGGCTGTGTTGATTCACATTTCTCAATGAATTAATAGAAGCCCATGCTTCTTCCTGTGCTTAGATGAGAAGTAGGGATGGATTGTTTGGTGCCATGCTCTGTGTTCTTCACTTTGGTGAAATCCATTTTTGCTCTCTTGCTGAATGACATCCTAGAATCTTTTAGGGCTGCAGGTGGGTGCTGCTAAAGAGGTGGGGAAATCTGTCTGCTGAAATCGGTTCTGGGCTGCAGAATGTATTCCTACAGGTTGTCACTGGTATCTGACTGCAAATGCCCAATTTAGATCTTGAATATCTATAGCGTGTAGAATATGTCATAGTGTATGTGCATATATTGCATGACCATGTTTTATGTCCTACTGTTTCTTTTTTAATGATGAACAAAAAATCTGAGGCTTTGTTCAGTATTGTTTACTGTTGCAAGATTTTGCTGTTCTCCTGTGTGTGTGTGTCCTCATGTTTCGCTGCAGCTCTCTATCCAGTATGCACAGCAGATGTATTTGCTTCTAGCTAGCTTGCTTTATTTTCTTCTGCACCACACCTATCCTATTGACATATTTGTGAATGAAGTAGGGCTGAACTGCTCCCATCCTTTCTCTGTAGTAGGGATCTATTGTCTGTCCCATTAGAGTACTGTCAGGCAGAACTGGTTTTACTGTACTCATTGCTGTGCTTTCTGGTTTTGGTAGGTGGCACGTTTTAGTCAGGAGGTGCAGATCCCAGAAGCTCGTTGTTTCTATGGCTTTCAGATTCTCATTGAGAACGTTCACTCAGAGATGTACAGCTTGCTCATAGACACCTATATCAAAGATCCTGAGAAAAGGTAAATCTCTGTATGTGTTACAGACCCATGGGAAATCTGGCACCATTGTTGGGCAGCAGCAGCAGCAGCTGTCTTCTGTTTCATACTGACTTACTGGGGGAGTTGGGGCTGGTTCCTTAAACCTTTCAAGGCCTGCACGCCTGACCCCCAAAATGGAGAGAAGCATTACTGACCAACAGACTTTTGTGGGAGTGTCAGCAGGTTAGTTAATGTTTGTCTGAATCTTTGATTGCAGGAAGTACAGGCTATGTGAAATGTTGTTAAAGGTTAGACAACCTCCTTGTGGTTATTGTGCTCCTGAGGTGCTTGCTCTTGCATCGACAAAAGATCTACCTCGGGAAATTGAGTGCTTGTGATCCAACTGGTGTTTCTAACATATACTAATCAATGTATGGCATCGTTTCAGCTTTTTTGTTGGTGATGCTTTTTCATACAATTTGAACTGCTTATTTTTAAAGTATTGGGTTCTTTGGAGAGCCACATCACCTTTGTTGTCTGGAGAACTTCATAGTCCAAGTGGTAATACATTTGAAAAGAAGCACTTTCCCTCAGAGACTCCACCATGGTGATGGTCAGGCAGAGCTTGGTTTGCCATGGTGGCATCCGGTGTGGTGACAGTGGGAGGACTGCAAGGTTTCCTTTCAGGTATTCAGCATGGGAACAGAGCCTGTGCTCGTGGGAATTGTCCAGTTCCTTTTGTGGAATTGGGCAAGATGAAGTTTAGCTCAGTGGGTAGGAAGTGGCTGCCGTCTAGCTTGAAGTCTGAGAGGCAGCGTGGTCTGGTGGGTGAGCACTCCTGGGATGGGATATTTGAGTTCACTTCCCATCTCTGCAGCTTGCCTCCTTTGAGACCTGGGGTTTGTTGCTTTCTGCACATCTGCCTCCCTGTGCCCTTGTTATCAGAGATGATCACCCCTTTGGGGTGGGAATGGTCTCTCACTGGGGTTAGTTCAGAGCCTAGCGTAATGGGTTCCTTTATGTAAATCACTTCTTATTATTTTGCTCTTTTCTCTTTGCTTTCTTTTGTAGGGATTTCTTATTTAATGCCATTGAAACAATGCCTTGTGTCAAGAAGAAAGCAGACTGGGCTCTGAAGTGGATAGAAGACAGAGAATCTACTTTTGGTGTGTAGCTTCTTAAAAACTTGTTTCTGTTGCACATGTCACAAACTAATCTCTGGGAGGGAGCTGCATCCCTGGAACGTGAAATGGAATTCTCCACAGATGATGTAGTGGCTTCTGGGTCTTTAGTTTAACTAAAGAACTAGCAGTAACTTCTGATGAGCATGTATGTTTTTATCTTCAGCTAAAGCAATATAGTAATGGCAGTGCCCACTAGAATCATGTTATAAAAAATGCTTGTGGGTTTCTCTGTCTTTTTTTGTCTTTATACCAAACAAACCTAGTTTCTTCAATTTTTGCTTGTAGACCTTGTTTTTTAGGAGTTCTTATTATTTCTTCCAGTTGGCTCCTGTTTTGTACTCCAGTGTTCAGAACTGGGCAGCTGAAGTCTTACAAGTCCAGGCTATTTCTGTGTTCATGTTCATAAAGATAAATTTGTGTGTCATGTTAGCCTTTTTTTTTTTTTTTTTTTTTTGTGACTGACTGAACCTGGGCAAAAGACACTGAAGAGTCATGTGTCTCTGGTACTCCTAGTTTGCTGTTGGGACCAGGTTTCTAGTTTTTGTATCTCATTTCAGAGCTGGGACACTGTCTCAGCATGGTGCAGGGCATCCTTTCCAGTGTTCTGCATTCAGCTTACAGTGTTCTCTGAAACGTGTTTTGTAGCTGAAATGAATAATGGGCAGACTCAGGTGGATTTTCTAAACCAAACATCCTCTGTACTTGGAGAAAGTGTAGGAGACTGAGAGATTCAGCCAGACAAACAAAATAAATCTGAATATCATTCTTCTGCAGCATCTGTTGTTCACAGCTCTTGTTTGAGTAGGGTTCTTTTTGTAGCTGTAGATTCTCCTGTCCTGGAGCATCCTGCTGCCTCCCCAGTCTGGCTTTGCTTGCTGTGTGTAGAGTCCCTTCTTCATCTTCATTTGTCTCCCAGCAGCGTGGGGTGTGCCAGGAATCAGAAAGTTCCCTAACTCAAAAAGCAATATTGCCCCCTCCCCCTTTCCCCAAACTTCAAGTATCCTATCCAAATTTTTGTACTCTTTTGGTTTTTCATCTTACTGGGAAAACTTCCCAAGTTTAAAATGTTTGGGGGGACTAGGTCTTATAGTTATGGATTATGAGGTATGGTATATGAAGGTGACTGGCTGGCTTGTTTGCTTGGTGTTTCCTGCCAGCTTGGGGACCTGGCCTGCAACCAGGTCTCTGCAGCTTTGGTTGATTTCTTGTGCTGTATCTGTTCAGTTGCTGTATCTGTTGTGTGGACTCTCGGCCCCGCAGCGTGTGCTCACATTATGCGGTGCTGCTGATGGGCGGTTTTTGTTTCAGCATAACTCATTTGTGTGATAGCTAGTCAGGTGAAATGTAGTAAAAACCATACCAATATTCAGTCTTGTCCTTCATTAAACCTATATTGTATGAACAACCTTCCTCCACTCCTCTATAGAAGTAACCTAGGAGATATTTAGTGTTGCCAGACAAATTCTTTCCTTAGTAACTGCTGTCATACGTGTAAGTTTGTATTGCTCTTCTCGCTTTTTTCCTAACTTGAATTTCTTCAGATGAGCCAGCAGATGGCATTTGCATCTCATAGAGGAAATGGGACATCTGGCTATTTTGGGGTTGTTTTATTTTTTAAACAAAATTCCATGCAGTTCTCACTGGAAACAGGCACCAGCACTTAATGCAAAAGCTCTTAATGTTAGAATACACCCAAGGATCTTGTGAAGTTGTTTAAAATAAGAGTACATGGAATGATATGTCTTCACCAAGCAGTCAGATGGTCTTGTAGTCTGAAGAATTACATTCGTGTAGACAACAGGGAGAACTGGGACCAATAATGCTGTCATTTCCTGGGATGAAAGGTGGGATAACAGCTGGGATAACACAAATAGTTATTTGTGTTATACTCTGTGTTCTTCCACTCTTGTAAGAATATGGGTTTATGTAGATTCTCAACAAGCAGAAATTGAGGTGTGGGATTTTTTGTTTAATTTATAGGAGACTGTCTCTTCTCTGTTTTGTCTGTTAGTTACACAGCCATTTTCCTGCCTTTTGGGAGAAAGAGATAAAGAAATACTGATGTCTTGGCCGCTTTGGACAATTATGTTCTTTCCCTTCTGACCTGTGGCAGTTTCAGTGGGTGCCCTGTTTCTTCAGTTCTGCTGGGGTTGCCTGTGGTTAAGTGCTGTTGCATGTGTAGACCCTGTGTGCCTTGGGATTTGCTGAAAGATGTGGTCAGATACAGCACCTGGTGCTGCAGAGGGGATTGCTTCTCTCCAACATTGGTCTGTCTGATGCAAGTGGTTCATCTTGCTGACAAGCAATGCACTGTTTTGTGCCTAACTGAAAATGTCTTATGTTAAACAGGTGAGAGAGTGGTTGCCTTTGCTTCAGTTGAAGGCATCTTCTTTTCGGGTTCCTTTGCTGCTATATTTTGGCTGAAGAAGAGGGGCCTGATGCCTGGACTAACTTTCTCCAATGAACTGATTAGCAGAGATGAGGTAATGTGTCATGTCCTACATACTGTCTGGGAAGGAAAGTAAGTTTCCAGGGAAAGAGCAGAATTATATTAATAAAGATCCCATACTTTTGCCAGAGCAGCCCATCTCTGGTGGCAGGGAGGGTTGGAGGGAAGGTGAAGAAACAGTGTTTGAGTAGGAACCGGTGAAGAGAATCCAGCAGTGAGTAGGGGATGCATTTCTGGGTATGACAGAGCTTTTTTGATGTTGACAGTACTGGAGGCCAGGGAGGTGCTGCAAATCTTGAGAAGGTTCTCTGCTAGCCACTGTCAGCAGCAGGGTTTTCCAGGAAAGGTCCACTGTCCTGGTAGGACAGAGGTCTTGGTTACCTGCCATGTAGCTGCAGGCCGTGCTCCCTAGAGCTTCTCCTGCAGTAAGCCTTCTGCAACTACTTCAACATCACCTCCTCAGCAGCACAGGGGAGAGGCTTCCTTTCCCCAGAGCAGTGTCCGACCCTGTTTCTGCAGCCTGACAGAGGAGCTGTAGCTGCTGATGTGTAGGAAGACTGGAGTCCTGCAAAGAAGCAGGCTGTTCCCAGAGTATTTGTAAAAAGGGGAAAGAAGACTTCTACCTGTAAGTAACTGATGAACTTAAAGCCTGAGTGCTGCTATGTTCTCCAGTAGAAATACCTGTTTTTAGAGGGAGTAAATATAAATGTTAGCAATAGCTCAATGCATAGTATGATCAAAAAGGTGGGCTTTTTGGATTGAAGGGACATTTGTTTTCCTGTGCTGTGAAGGGAGGCAAAAGCCTGTCGGACCAAGGACTGGAGTGGAATTGCGTGATCCCCAGTTGCAGCTGGGGCTGGCTTGGGCAAGGACCTAGCTAGGATGTGACTCTGAGCCTTGCTCTGCCTTAACTGCTGCAGTCAAGTTCAAGTGGCCTCCTTGTACCACTCCCCGTCTGACCCTGGTTGTGGCTCCCAGAGCTTGCATCTGTTGCCTGGCTGGCCGTGGCAGGTTGCTGCAGAAGCAGCAGATACAGTTCCTCTCCATGTTCTTGTGTTTCTGCACAGTGATAGGATCTCCTGGGAGGGGGCAGCTACACGTCTGCATTAGAGGGGAGCGCTTCTTAGCTTATGGAGTGTCTGAGGGGTGTGTGTCAGCCCACTGGATGTAGCAGGCCATGTGCTGACAAGTGCCCTTTCTTTTCACTGCTTCCTGCACTGCTGCCTGCCAGTTGGCAGCACTTGCTCATGGTTCGGACCTGTCTTTAAGGCACCGCACAGCTTACGGTGCTGTCAGCACTGAAAAAGCAGAAAGACCAGTTTTATATGCAGTATAAACATGCTAGTGGTTTGAACTTACCAGAGTTGGTCTGAAAGAAGAAAGAGCTTTATCATAATTGAAGTAATTTCCATGGTTTAGATAAGCTGATTTGAAAGGAGGCATCTTAAAAGATGCCTTTAATTTAAATGACACTTTTAAAGGAAGTGATAGGATCAGTAAGCAAAACCAAACAGTTCTTCAGCCTTGACCTTCCTTGTGCCTTCTGTTTCTGTGGGTCATCATGAACTGGTCCATTTGAGCGAGGAAGTATTTGTTTGTTAGAAGGATCACTTGCAGGTGAATGAGATGTAAGTTCCTCTGTCCAGCAGTGTAACTGTCCTTCTCTGCAGAGTCAAGCACCAAAAGACTGATTTTTTCTTGAGCTCCGCTGGCATAATTCCAACTGCAGAGCCGTTGTGAAGGGTGAGGCTCAGTGTACACAGCACCTGCATTGAAAACCAGGAAATGCCGTTACAAAGCCTGGCAGTAAAAAGAATGCATGGTGGAAAACTACACAAACTGTTTTCTGATGCAGCTGAACAGATAGATGGTTAGTGCTCAATATGTTTTTTGAGCTGCAGGCTCTGTTCCCAGGCTGTTCTTTGAGCTGTTACCTCTCTGATTCTTAACAGTGCAAAGCTGCTGGGAGCAGCAGCCAGCGGAGCACACCAGTTCAGGTGAGAAGCCAGGAACGTCCTGCATCCTGCTGGTCATGTTGCCCTGGACAAGACCATGGGAAGCCCTGCAGCAGGCAGCTAATGCTGTCCCTAGAGGAAGAGTATATCCCAAATTAAGTTGTTTCAGGGCTGTTTCATGACCTGAAGTACATACAAGTATTTTGTAACCTTTCTGAAAAAGTTTTCACTTCTTGGTTTTGTTTTGACCCTTGCTAACAATAGCACAGGATTGTCTCATGGACCATAGTTTGCCAAATCTCTGACTGGTTTTCACTCTGGATGTGCCCTCATGGTGCTTATGGGCTGTAATCACCATCTTGCTGTCAGGAAGAGAGGTGGTAGCACAGTGCTCCTTTAGGCTAGCAGCAGTGGATATGGCTGAAGCCAGAGGCTTAAACTGTAGCCAGGCAAGCTCAAATAGAAACTTGAGGTACCTCTTGGAGCAGCTGTCTGGCACTCCCTCAGACTGTGAGGGGCTGCTCATCTGATCTTGTCTTACACTGACTGGATGCTTTCCTGGAAGTCTAGGGAATTAACACAATTTACTGGTCTCCGTGCAGGATAGCTGGATGAAATGTAAAAGTGAGTTGAGTTGGGGTACAGTAGCCTTAATTATTGAAAACCTGTGAACGTTGTGGTAGCAAATCCCTCATGTTAACTGCACATTGTGTTGAGAGATGACTTGTTAGTCTTGGATTTGGTGACTCTAATCTGAATCTTCCTTTCTGAAAATGCTGTGAGGAGAAGCAAGGGAAGCTACTAAAAGAACTTAAACCAAGTATTTCTGTACAGGTATCTGAAAGCAGAGAGCAGGTAAACAGTCTATGTTAACTGGCAAGTAGTTTTGCAGGTCTTGATGTAGGAGTATTTCTGCAAAAACATCTCTAATGGGAGGCAGGGACCCAGCAGGGCTCTGTGTAGGATCCCTCACAGCAGAGCAGCTCTCAAAATTACTTACCCTGAGAAACATGTATGCTGAATGTTACTTTGGCATAGGTGGCATGTGTTCAGGTGTTACTAACTGGGTTGTAAACTAAAAGTGCCCACTACAGGTGGTAACGTTAGGACTGCCAAAGAAACAGGAGGCTAGGAAGCTTCAACCTGAATGAAGGCTACCTCAAAGTAAGAGCAAACTATGTGGTGGAGGGGAAAAATGGCTTTTTTTCATTGTTCTCTGTTATTTCAGGGTCTACACTGTGATTTTGCTTGTCTAATGTTCCATTATTTAGTGAATAGACCGTCAGAAGAGCGGGTCCGTGAGATCATCGTTAATGCTGTTGAAATTGAGCAGGTAAGCTTGGCCGTGGCAGCATCGTGAGCAGTGCAGGACCAGTCTTGTGTGCAAAACCAAACAAATTAACTTCCAATTTTGGGGATTCCATATTTGATTCTTGACTCAGGCCTGGATCCCAGATGCATTATACCATCCTTTCCCTCTTCCTTAATAATGACAAGAAGAGTCAGAGACTTTCTGAGTCTATTGATGAGCAACTGGGTGAAGCTGAAGCTGGCAGCTGGTTTCCTCCTTAATGACAGAAAGGAAGAAAGGCTGTCTTACTTAGTACAGAATAGAATAGTTCCAGTTGGAAGGGACCTACATCAATCATCTACTCCAACTGCAACTGTCTCTTAGAGAAGCGTTTGTTTATCTCTGTCCTTTCAGGATCTTTGTCTCTCCCTGCTGTACACACTCTCCTGCTTGTCCTTGGGAGAAGACAGGATCTGTTCTGGCTACTACATGTACCGTGCTGGATTCTGGTTTTTTATGAGGTTGCTGTCAGATTCTTTCACATGAAGTTCTGCCCATCTGCAGCTACAAGTTTCTGCACTGCTGAGTGTTTGGCAGGATTGTAGTTTACTCTTTCTTTTCACTACTGTGATGGTGATGAATGACCCAGCTCTGCCTCAGAACACTGACAGGCATTGCATTGGTGCATAAACATGTACATGGCTGGGTTCAGCACTCATATATATCACTGTCCTCTCCAGTCTGTTGTTCTATAATGGCTGGAAGCCAAGGGAAACTGGAGATTTCTGGATCTATTCCTGTTCCCGCTAGTACGGTCTGTAGGTTTTATTGAACTTGGAGCTCAAGCTTACACTGAAACTTGGCATCTTGTGGGGGGATGGGGAAAGGCAGATGAGGGGGGCAGTAATAAAAATTCTTGTGCCTTTTCCAGAAAAACATGCTAAAAATAGAGGAAAACACAAACAACTACTGAAAAGAGTTGTTGAGTTTAAGTGATGTAAGTTATTTATTCAGACAGCTGCCTGGGAACCTGGACTATCACAAATTGTGTTACTGGGAAACACAGGTGTCTTCTTTTCCCTTCTTAAATTTAATTTCTCTAAATGTCGTCTATGTTTTAACTTCTAGGAGTTTCTAACAGAGGCGTTACCTGTAGGTCTGATTGGAATGAATTGCACTTTGATGAAACAATATATTGAATTTGTCGCAGACCGGTTACTAATGGAGCTTGGGTTCTCAAAGGTAAGAGATGCAATAGCCCGAAATGCTGGCCTGCCAGGACAGCCCAGGAAAGCTGTCAGCACAAAGCACTCTCTTAATTTGCCTGGGAGCAGGTCATATTTAGCACTTGCACTTTCTGTGAGTGACAGCCGAAACCACGGCATTAATATATATGCTTCTCTATTTAAAAGAGCAAGAACAATGTAGGCCATTGTTTCCCTTCAGCTGCTCTGTAAATCTGTAATGGGAAACTTACGCTGCGCTCAAGTGCTGCAGCCCTCAAAGGATAATAAGCACCTTGTGCGGGTGAACTTCACATGGACCGAACTCCTGGGGTGTGACAGTACTGAATTTGCTTAGATAGGTGTCTGTAGATTCTACAGCACATCACAGCAAGGGATGACCTAGCGTGAAGGGGTTTGACTGTTATGTTTGTTACCCTATCGAAATCACCAGTGTAATAGTGTTTCCCTTCTCCAGGTCTTTCATGCAGAAAATCCTTTTGATTTCATGGAGAATATTTCTCTGGAAGGAAAAACCAATTTCTTTGAGAAGCGGGTTTCAGAATATCAACGTTTTGCTGTTATGGCAGAAACAATGGACAATGTCTTCACTCTGGATGCAGATTTTTGATAACTTGGCAAATGAAGGGTAACTGTTTCCCTCTCCCCATCTCACTTTTTACTGTGAAGTTGTCTTCATTTCCTGTCCTGGAATTGGAGTCTACCAGGATTTTTCTCCTGGGTTTTCGTGTTGTTTGTCTGAGGAATAAATATATTTCTTTCTGTGTCATTAAAAAATAAAAAACAGGGATCCTTTTTAAAAAATTTATATGGCTTTCTAAAAGGATGGCCTTTTTAAGCTTCCCTTGACTCATCTGCTCTGATTGCTGTCTTTAAAAATGACCTAGATGGTACTACTTTTTTAAGACTTTGGTAGTGTTTTAAGAAAGCAAACTGCATATTTACCTCATGTTATGATGTTTTAATCTGAAAACCAGATGAAGTATCACTCAATGTATATATGTTGCTATAAATTATTTTTATGGTTCCTATTTTCATGTTTATAGATTTAGTCTAGAGTAAAAGCTCTTCCCTTTTGTCCTGCTGCAGATAGAGTAATAAGTGAATGTGGGAAGACATTAGTAAGATATGAACTATAAAATCTTATTAAACCCAGGGATACAGTTTGATCTCCCCATTAACTTGGGTTCTATCTGAAAACATTTTTACTCTGATTGCAAATCTGATGACTGATCAGAGTTTAAGTCAAATACATACGATTTTTGTCTTACAGCTGTTATTGAGCGGGTCCTTTGAAGGGTCCTTGAAAAGGCAAGCCTGTTAATAGGAGAGAAAAACCACATCCTGTAGTTCTTTGGCTTTTGCTGCGTGTTTTTCCCTGCTTCTCTGAACAAGTGCCTTATTAAGCAGTCCATAGGTGCACTGAGTTGCAGTCGGCATCTGGCACTGGAACAGCCAACTCCGAGTGTTGCCTGTCTTCCCTCTGTCATGCTGGGTGACGTGATATTCTTTGATAAAAGATTGACTTAAATGTAAATGCTGACTGACTTATGCATTGATGGGGTGAGAAGGCTTTATCATTTCAAGGGATTTCCACTTGAGGTGCTACAAACGTACTACTTGGGCTGTGAGGAAGCACCAGTAATGTATGGCAGTACTGCGGGTTGCATGTTGAATGTGAACCATTGAAACTGTTGTCACAGAAATGCTTCTGCAGGAAGGTATAAAACCTTTCAAAAACAAACCTTGAAGTAGTATGGATTAGCAGCATCTCACAAAGGACTTCTGTTTGGCTTTTGGTGTGTTCCAGTGTGTGCCTGAAAACTTTTTTTTTTTTTAATTTCTTGATATCACATGCAGAGAGAATGGAGCAACTGAAGAATGGCTAACATGCTGCAGTGACACTTGGGATGGAAGGGACACTATTCAGTTGTAGGTGGATTATTTTCAGATAGGTATGCTCATTTTTTTTCAAAAGTGGAGTGAATGTACATAAGCTACACAAAGAGTTCTTCTTTATTAAACCCAAGCATTTTTTCATAATGTTCAGCAATTTGTATAAGAGCTTTATAAATCTTCTTATTGTTGCAAACATCTTGTGCTGCTTTTGATATGCCTGACATGAGATGAGCTGCCAGCCCAGGGTTATCGGTGATGGGGTGGTGTAAGTGTTATTTCCCTGCCAGCCCAGATCAGCCGTAGCCCTTGGGTACCCGAGTTCCATGAAATAGGTCCACTGCCTTAGCGTAGTTCCTAGTGAACAATTGTCCCTGGTGTAAACATAAGCAGCAAAACTGACTCTTTTTTTTGGTCTCAGTAAAAGATGATTAGTGTGTAATGAGCATGGAAACGGGACAGATTTTTTTTTTCCTAGAGAAGAGCCTGTGTCATTTGATATAAGGTACTTGGGGAGGGCAGACGGGAACACAGAGAACATCTGGAACTGGTGTCCCTCAGTAACGTTCTGCAACTGCAGAGAGAAAATCCAGCACCTTTTAGAAATACTTGATGGGGGAGAAAGAAAATGTTGTAACTGGATCTGTTGTTGGAAGAATGGAACCTATTTTATGTCAGTGAAAGTACTTAAAAGCATTTGTTTTGAGTGTTGTGAATTAAGGTGAGAGTATAAGAATGAGCACAGAGCAGTTTCATATCTGAACAGGTTCTGTAACTGTATGAGATACCAAAGTCTGGTACAACAGCTCCCCCTCCTTTTGTGTGTAAAATATGTGTGTATTTTCAATAAAACTTGAACGTGGAGAGAAGCATGCTTTTGTTTGCTAGTTACGTGCTTGCTTGTGAAATCCAAAATGATAAAATTGGGCCATGCCACAGTAAGTTGGTGTTCACAGCTTTTGGGCTGTGGGAGAAAGTTAACGAGGGCTACATACACTGTCTTGGGCTTTGTGAGCTGTTGACTTGCAGTTTCTTGTTCCTGGGAATGGGGTTTGCAGTCTAGGGAGCAAACTTTTTTTTTTTTCTAGAATTTTCTGTCTCAAGAAGAAATCTTGGAAGTCTCTTAGGTTCAAAAAACCACTCCAAAAATGTAATATTGGTGGGTGGTATCTGATGTATCAAGGACATTGTGCCCTCAGGTCAGGCACTCTGACTGTGCCTGGGGACAGCAACGTGGGGTGCAGCCCCCTGAGCTGGGGCCAGCTGGGCCTGCCTGACACTGAGCAGGGACAGCTGGGTCTGAGCTGGCAGAGGTCCACACCTGGTGGCATCTGTGCCCTCAGAGGTGTCAAGTCAAAAGTTTTGTCCCTGCTGCCCCTTTGGGCCTCCTTGAGACAGGCATGAAGGGCACAAGGTCCCTTCCTCTCCCACCAGCTCTGGGGCTTGGGCAGGAACCATGTGCCTCTGAGGACGCTGGTGGACAAGCTGAGTCTGGCTCTGTGCTTCTCACACTGTAGCCATCATGCTTAAAAAAGCCTGATGGGAGAGTGCGTGGGAGAGAAGTTGTGAGGCATCCCTTCGGTATATAGTCTGTGTCCTCTGGGTTGGAGTCCAAGGCTGGTACAGGACACCCATTATAGCCAGCGGGACAGAGAAGGTGCTTCTGGAAGGGTTTGTCTCATGGTGAAGGACATGTCTGCAGCGGTCAGGTGAGCAGAAGCCTGTCCCTGGGGGCTGCAAGGGGAGCTGAGGCTCACAGGTAGAATCCCACCTTTTAACATCCAAAACGGCCTCTGTAGCTCCTGCTGTTCTCATTCAAGCAGGCGTGTGGGTCCCAGCAAAACCTGTGACCTGATTAGCAATAGCCACAAGCAGAGAGCGTGCTCCCAGCCCTGCTCTCTGGTCATGAAACCACTGTGGGGTGCAGTAGGTCAGTGACTATTCCCAGCCCTTGCTGGTAAAGAGAAGAAAGCGGGTGAAGGCAGGGCAATTGGCAAGCTGGCTCTTGGTGTTTCTTGACAGCCCGGAGGCCATGTTGCTGGACTGGTACGGTTTTTGCAGCAGATGAGGACACCGTGTGCATGGCAGCACACCTGGAGCTCTGGCCAGCCCCTGGCCAGCTGACACTGCTGATCCAGCTCTGCCCTGTTTCTGCTCCTTGCCTTTGAACGTTGTTAGCAGCAAGTCTGGCCAGTCTCCCCTGGCCCCCAGCCTGCCAGAGGAGCGCCTGCCTTCAGCCCTTCCGAGGGGGTGGGTGCTCTGGGCTGGTTTTCCTCCTGGTGGAGCCCTTGAGTCAGCAAATACTAATGTTTCTGTCACTAAATTATCTAGAGCTCCTTCTGGGAGAGAAACAATCAGTGAGATGCTGATGTGTTAATATGACAGTAGCCAAGTATGTGTTTGCCAGGGGGATGTTTGTGCGGCTGGGGACCGCTCCGTGCTGCGCTCTGCCGCGATACGCACGGGTGTGTGTAAACTTCATATACGTGCGCACTGATGTACATGCCCGGCACACACAGCTGTGCACACTGCACACACGCAAAAGCAGAGTTAAGGGGAGAAGCCTTTGAGCCTCAGGTCTTAGCAAACCCTCTCCCTGCAGCAGAAAGGTGAGATGGACACTATAATACTGCGACTGAGGTGCTGTTCCTCGTTTGCCAGCGGCTGCCTGCCCTGCTCCTCACTACCTGGGTGCAGATAACGGCAGCGACACAGCCAGAGGCTTCTCCCCTCCCATTGTAGTCTGGCTCTAGAAGCCAAGGCTGCCTAAGCCATGAGGCTACAGCTGTGCTCTGCTAACTGAAATCTTCAGCTAAGTTTTTTTTCAGCTTAAAATACAGGTAGATCTCAGGAATGTCTGTGTTTGGCCAGTGTGGAACACACATGCCTGCTTTGAAGAACAGTAGCTTTGGTCTTTGGCTGGTTGAGTGCAGCTGCATGGATAGACTCAGAAATTCCTTCTTGCATTTTGACTCTTCTAATGAAATAAAAGAGCATTTGTGAGTGACAGACATGAGATTTCCGTGACAGGCAGTAGTGCTGCCAATATTGCAGCTTCTTGCAGAGCTTTGCTGACCGGAGGCTTCTGCACTGCAGATCCTTCTTCCCAAATCTGCTTGAAGGGTTTACCCAGGAACTTTCCTTTCCCTAGGACTGCTGTTGCTTTGCCTGCACTATTCATCACTGCATTGGCTCTAGTGTGGCTGCTGGTGTGTTCATGGGGACAAATCCGTATCATCAATCCCTTTATTTTTGCTGTAGTACACAGTTTGGTTAATGTTACTCTGAGAGTGGCCCTGGGTAACTGCTGCAGCGTCTCTAGGAAGCTTGTAGTCCGAGGAGGAGAGCTGCCACAGCGAGCTGTGTGGACTGATCTGACAGAAAGGGTGAGGTGTTGACTCCTGTCATGAGGACAGTCCGCCTTTGGGCCTTGGTGATGCCTGTTCCTGTAGTAAGTGCCTCTTGCTGCAGAAGCAGGAGGAGGTCGTCACCTCCTGATGATGAAAAGGGATCAACAGACTGATGAAAAGAAGGTATTTTGGGTGGTTTCATGAGTTCACCAGCAGGAACTTAGTTTGGCTCCTGTCCCTCTGGTGCCTGGTGAATGTCAGAAAAAATCTGGTGTGGTTTTGGGGGGCTTCTTTTTTAAGACCCCCCCAGCAAAGTCTCGTCTCGAGTTGTCCATAAGTTATTCCTTTTAGTGAGGAAGCTCCCAAAGTCACACTGCAGGCTCTGGGTGAACAGCAGAGTAGTTGGAGGGTTTTTTTTTTCTTGTCAGTTGGCAGATCCAGAAGTGTTAAGAACAAGTCTCAATGTGCAAATAGCTTTTACTCATCTCATGAAAGCCTCTGGCACTGCAAGCTAACGAACTTGAGAGCTGC